ATAAAGGTGAAGTTCCCTGTGGGATATTTATATATGCACTTAACATGCGCTTTTAAGAATTCATTCTGCATTGCCTTCCTTTACCCATCCCTACATTCTGCCTCTCAGTTTCCTTCTTCTGCATTACTGATCTTCCCTTTATCTTTATCTTATCCTCTCTTTCCCTCCCCCTTTTCTTTACTTTACTCTAGCTTCCACATATGAGAGAAAACATTTGACCTTTGAGTTTCTGAGTTTGGCTTATTTCACGATATTCTCCATTTCCATCCAGCAAATGCCGTATTTTCTTTCTTTTCTATGAGTAGAACTCCTTTGTATGTATGTACCACAATTTCTTAATTCATTTATCTATTGACAGATACCTGGATTGATTCCATAATTTAACTATCGTGAATTGTGCTGCTATAAATATCAAGTTGGCTGTATCATTATAGTATGCCAATTTTAAATCTTTGGGGGGAACATACTAAGGAGTGGGACGGCTGGGTTATGTGGTGGTTCCATTCCTAGTTTTTTAAGGTATCTCCATACTGCTTTCCAGAGTGGTTGTACTCATCTGCAGTCCACCAACAATGAACAAGTGTAACCTTTTTTGCTACAATCTTTCCAGCATTTGTTATTGTTCATATTCTTGATATTGCCATTCTGATTCAAATGAGATGAAGTCTTAGTGTAGTTTTAATTTGCACTTCCCTGATTATTAGAGATGCTGAACATTTTTTCATAGATTTATTGGCTGCATGTGTTTCTTCTTTTGAAAAGTTTCTGTTTTAGTTCTTTTGCTCACTTATTGCCTAGGTTATTTGCTTTTGGTGTTAAGTGTTTTGAGTTCTCTGTTCATTCTGGAGATTAATCCCCTATTGGAGGAGCTGCTGGCCAAGGTTTTCTCCCATTTGTAGGCTCTCTTGCCATATTCTTAATCCTTTCCTTTGCTATATAGAAGCTTTTCAGTTTGATGGGGTCCCACTTAGTGACTCTTGGTTTGGGGGTCTTGTGCTTTGGGGGTCTTTTTGAGGAAGTCAGTGCCAGCATCTATAGATGGAGTGTTAAGCCTATGTTTTCTTCTACTAATTGCAAGGTTTCTGGTCTAAYTCCCAAGTCTTTGATCCATTTTTTTAAAATTATTTTTTAGTTGTAGTTGGACACAATACCTTTATTTATTTATTTATATGTGGTGCTGAGGATCGAACCCAGGGCCTTGCACATGCTAGGCGAGTGCTCTATNAGTGCCAGCATCTATAGATGGAGTGTTAAGCCTATGTTTTCTTCTACTAATTGCAAGGTTTCTGGTCTAATTCCCAAGTCTTTGATCCATTTTTTTAAAATTATTTTTTAGTTGTAGTTGGACACAATACCTTTATTTATTTATTTATATGTGGTGCTGAGGATCGAACCCAGGGCCTTGCACATGCTAGGCGAGTGCTCTATYGCTGAGCCACACCCCAGCCCTGAGCCACAACCCCAGCCCATTTTTTTAAATATATATATTTTTAGTTGTAGATGGGTAACTTTTATTTATTTATTTTTATGTGGTTCTGAGGATCAAACCCAGAGCCTCACACTTGCTAGGCAAGCACTCTATCACTGAGCTACAACCCCAGTCCTCTTTGATCCATTTTGATTTGAGTTTTGTGCAGGGTGAGAGATAGGGATCTAATTTAATTTTTCTACACATAGCTATTCAGTTTTCCCAGCACCATTTGTTTAAAAGGCTGTCTTTTCTCCAAAATATATTTTTGGTACTTCTGTCAAATATCAGATGGCTGTAGGAATGTGGATTGTCTCTGTATCTTCTATTCTGTTCCATTGGTCTTTATGTCTATTTTGATGCCAATACTATGCCTTTTTTTTTTTTTTTTTAACTATAGCTCTGTAATTTAATTTCTTGCCAGGTATTGTGATACCTTCTGCTTTGTTTTCTTGCTTGCTTAGTACTGCTTTAGCTATTCTGGGTCTCTTTTTCTTTCTTTTCTTTTTTTTTAATATATATTTTTTAGTTGTAGTTGGACATAATACCTTTATTTTATTTATTTTTGTGTGGTGCTGAGGATTGAACTCATGCCCTTGCACATGCTAGGTGAGTACTCTACCACTAAGCCACCCAGCCCTGGGTCTCTTTTTCTTCTAAATGAACTTAAGAATTGTCTTTTCTAATTCCTTGAAGAATGTCATTGATATTTTGGTGGGGTTTGCATTGAATAGTATATTGCTTTTGGTAGTATGGCCATTTTGACAATAGTAATTTTGCCTATCCAAGAACATGGGTTGTCATTTCATCTTCTAAGGTCTTCTTCAATTTCTTTCTGCAGTGTTCTATAATTTTTCACTATAAAGCTTGTTTGTCTCCTTGCTTAGATTAATTCCCAAAGTTTTTTTTTTTTTTTTCTTTTAAATAGGTTAATTCTGAATGGGATGGATTTCCTAATTTCTTCCTCAGCTGAATTACTGTTGGAGTATAGGAAAGCTATTGATTTTTGCTTATTGATCTCATATCCTGCAACTTTGCTGAACTCATTTATAAGCCCTAGAAGTATTCTGGTGGAGTTTTTTTGGGTCTTCTAGATATATAGGATTATATTGATGGCAAACAGAAATAGTTTGATGACTTCTTTTCCTATTTGTATCCCTTTGATTTCCTTTTCTTGCCTGATCATTCTGGCTAATGTTTCAGTGACTGTAGTGAATAGGAGTGGTAAGAGTAGATAGTCTTATTCCTGATTTTAAAGGAAAGGCCTTTAGTTTTTTGTCATTTAGTATGATGTTGACTTTGGGTTTGTCAGAAATGGCCTTTAACATGTTGAGGTAAGGTCTTTTGATTTCCTAGCTTTTCCAGTGTTTTTAACATGAATGGGTGCTGGACTTGGATAAAAGTCTTTTCTGAATAAAGGTCTGATAAAGGTCTTTTCTGAATCTATTGAGATGATAATGTGATTCTTGTCCTTAATTCTGTTTGAGTGGGGAATTACATTTATTGATTGCATATGTTAAACCAACCTTGARTTCCTGGAATGAAATCCTTGAGATCATAATGTATTACCTTTTTTTTTTTTT